ACAGTTACAGTCACCAGACCCCAAGAATGATGTTCTCTTAGCACCATCTAGAACCAATTCCACTCCCCCCTCTGTGGCTGGAATTTAGATGAGCTAAAGCAGGCATCTATAATCGGGATTTCAATTGCCCTTGGCTTACTGAACTTGTAAAATTTTTCCACAGCCAGAAAACCTTCACAGAAGTCAGCCACTTTGGCCTGAAAAAGTGAGTCAACCTTGACTCACTTGAGAAGCTTTACAAAAAGTATCAATGCCCAGGTCCACTGTCAGAGATCTTGATTTAATTGGCTTGGCATGGGGGCCCAGGCATCTGTATCTTTTAGGTGTTTCCCAGGTGCTTCTAATGGGCAGCCAGGGCTGAGAATCACTGCTGGGTAAGCAGTGTATAAATGGCTGTGGAGCAGATCAAATATTCAATTTAACTTCTACTCACAGCACCTACTCTAGAGACCAGTGAACAAATAACCATTCACAAAAGATTGTTGCTGTTGTTGTTAGCTCCCTTTGAGTCACTCCAACTCATAGGACCTTACTTACATAGAACAGAAAACAATGTTGCCCGGTCCTGTGCTATCCTCACAATGGTTGCTACACTTGTGTCCCTTGTTTCAGCTATCGTGTCAATCCATCCCATTGAGAGTTTCCCTCATTTTTGCTGACCCTCTACTTTACCTACCAATCAAGATTTCATTTTCTAGTGACTGATCTTTCCTGATAACGTGTCCAAAGTCTCGCCATCCTCGACTTCTAAGGAGCATTCTGGTTGTATTTCTTCTAGGACTGATACATTCATTCTTTTGGCAGTCTGTGGTATATTCCATATTCTTCACCAAAAAGTAGAAAAGGATAAAATTAGGGATAACCAGGGGTTTCATCAGGTGAAAACCATGTTAAATTGTGCACTACAGATTAATAAGTAAACGCAAGTAAGCCCATTAGTCACTGAGTAATCCGCCCCTGTCAGGGATTGTAAATTTGAAAAGAGGCTTTGATTCTGTAGGAAGGTGCTGTGGGGTTGGGAGAGAGAGAGATGCCAGCCATACCTAGAAGCGGAATCTTTGATGTGGTGAAAAAATGTGAAATTGTCACTACAGGTGATCTGATAAGCAAAGTAAGCACCTTGCTTACCTTGTCTGTTGGATAATTCATCCCTCCGCATAATCAAGTGCCAGGGAGTTAGTTTCAGTGAAATGGCAATTCCCATTGTGAATTCAGGGAAAGTGTCACAGAGAGCCATTCTCTTGAACTGGTCTTTAAACAGCAAAGTTCAGACAAAGCAGACTTCACACACACACACAACCCTATGCAGTGGACTCTCCTCAGCCCTGTGGGGTGGGAGTCATTTAACCCCATTTTACTACTGAGACTACATAAGGTCCAGAGATCTGACCCAAGTCATGGTCTTTTCAATCGCCTCACGTGTATACAAAAGTTGGAAAATGAAAAGAAAATTGGTGCATTTGAATTATGGTGCTGGTGAAGGATATTGAATATACCATGGACAGCCAGAAGAATGCAAATCTGTCTTAGAGGAAGTACGGCCAGAAAGCTAAGAAGCGAGGGTGGTGAGACTTAAGCTCGCTTACTCTGAACATGTCATCAGGAAGGACCAATCCCTGGAGAAGGACATCACGCTAGGCAAAGAGAGGAAGATCCTCAGTGAGATAAGTTGACACAGTGGCTGCAACAATGCACTCAAACAGCAACGGTTGTGGGGATGGCGCAGGACTCGGCAACCTTTCGTTCTGTTATACATAAGGTCGCTATGAGTGTCCATGGCACCTAACAACAATAACAAGGTCCAGAGACGGTGAAGAGCCTTGCCCAATTCACAGTGTCAGCGGTTGAGCCTGGAGGCACGCAGGACTCAGGACGTTCAGCCAGGGTCTTTAAACGAGTGTTTCCCACCTCAGGGTGAAAGCCCCACGCCCCGAGTCCTTCCAGCGACTTCTGGCCTCAACGCCCACCTAGACCCTGAGCGGATATGCGAATCCTGAGCCTTAATGCCGCCTGCGGGCGACAGGGGCGCGGCAGCCTCGTTCCCGGCTCTGGGAGAGCGGATGGGGCAGTCTTGTCCCCACCTCTGGGTGGGAATGGCGAGACAACCTTGTTCCCGCCTCTGGGATAGAGGGGCGGGGCAGCCTTGTTTCCGCCTCTAGGAGGGTGGTGAAGCAAGATAACTTCGGCAGCAGGAGACCATGTTGCCAGACGTCACTTCCGTGCGCGGCCGTCGACGTCAGTGTCAGGCGCGCACAGCGGCGGTGCGGTTTTCTATTAAAGTTAAATCTCGGTTGGCTTTTGCGAGCTATGGAGAGTGACTTTTATCTGCGTTACTACGTGGGTCACAAGGGCAAGTTCGGCCACGAGTTTCTGGAGTTTGAGTTCCGACCCGACGGTAAGAGCTGCCCCCAGTCTGTTCGCAGCGGGGACTAGGCCTGGGGGCGGGCGAGTGGGGAGGTCGGGGGTCCTAGAGACTCAGACCTGTGCAGCGCGGGAATGAAAGGAGCGCTCTTGTGTACGCCCCGCTGGTTCTTTCTTTGTGCACGGGTTCTGTTCAGTGACTTTTTTCACCAGTACTTTAGTTTTGAAAAGAGTGTTTTTGCTGTTGGGTGCAGAATGGGCAGGGTGGAAACAGGGCTACTTATTGAGGAGACAGTTACCGTTGTCAAGACAAAAGAGTTGTTGATTGACACTAGGGTGGTAATAGAAGTGGAGAGAAGGATTTGGAGTACTGCTGGAGGCAGAACCAATGGGGCGTTGCTGATTGATAGGATTTGGGGAGGAGGTGCTGTTGTGAAAGAAAGGAATTAAAAATGACAGAAAACTTCCACTAAATGGGAGCACAAAGATGAATCTGACAAGCCCTGATTGTGAGGGAGACAGGCAGTGACAAACAGTGTAGTAAGTGCTATGGTAGAGAGAAACAGAGGGGTCACCTAACCTAGCCTGAGGTTCAGGGAAGGCGTCCTGAATGAAGTGACTTGAGAGGGGAGGAAAATGAGTCTTTAGGAATGTGTAAGAGTTGGTGAGAGTTGAGAACGCATTTTGGACAGTATTAACAGCAGAGGGTCTGAAAACCAAAAAATGCATGGGATGTTTCTTACAGAAAACAAGTAGTTTGCCTAACTCCAGCTTTGTGAGAGGAGAATATTGCAGGAGTGAGGCTGGAAAGGCAGGTGGGGACTCATCTTAGCAGTATGCCATGCTGAGAAGTTTGGATTTTTCAGGAAGGCAGTGGGGAGCCAGTGGTAGTATCAAAGCATTAGAGTAATCAGGTCTGTTACTAGATCACTTTGTCCACTGTATGGAGAATGAACTGAAAGAGAAAAGGCAAGGCAGAGAAACAGTGCAGACACTGTTGGAATAAATTAATTTAGCTCTTTTTACATGTGTGTCTTCTATTCTACAGGGTACAAACCAAGTCTTCTGTTTCCTTTTATCTTTTCCTTCATCCCCCACCATGTAGCCAACTTAGCTTGTTGGATGGCACACATAGAGGCTCACAGAGGGCCTTGTATACCACATGAGCTCAGCGATAAAAGCACGACTTTTCCATCACAAGAATAGATCAGAGGGTTATGTGATCACATGATAATATATATAACCAGCATTTTACAGTTTTCAAAATGCTTTCAAAACTCATTTGGGCCTCAGGAGGCCCTGTGTGCAGGTAAGTTATCAATTACAATCCCTATTTTCAGGTGAGGACATTAACCCTTAGGGATGTGATTTGCCCAAGCTCACAAAACAGCCTTTCTGTATTCTTTTAGCATGCCTAAGATGCTTTTTGCAAGAAATTACAGTTCAGTGTCAGCTGTATTTTTGGCTGTGTGAGGCTGTTTAATAGCCTAAAGTGAAGAACTGAAAAGACTAGTGTTGTTGAAACACCAAAGGTTTAAATAGTAGATCTGTTAGACAATTTGAAGAGAAAGTTAGGATACATTTTAAGCAACAGCTGATAGACTTGGTAGTTAATGATGCTTTAGTCCTATGTTTTTATTGTACATTGAATTTGTTTTTTGCTCCTCACAGGGAAATTGAGATATGCCAACAACAGCAATTACAAAAATGATGTCATGATCAGAAAAGAGGTATGAGCCTTCTGAGAGCCCTTCATTCACTACAGTTCAGCCATTTGCCTTGTGTTGTTTTTGTTCTTTCTGGGGGTGGTATTGAAAGATAAAGAATAGGAAGGTAGACACATATCTGTTGGCAGCTTCTAAATTCTTTCTCAAATCTTCCTTTAGTTTGTGTTTGCTTTCGCAATGCTGAAATCAACTACTGGTAATCATTTGGAGTCTGGCAGATCTTGGTTTGAACCCTGAATCTGCTACTTACTAACCGTGTGACCCTGGGCAAGTTCCCTGGCTGAACTAGCTCAATTTCTTCATTTGCAAAAACAGGAATAATAAAACCTGCCCTGCTTGAAACTCCTCAGTACTCTTGTAGAATTAAATACATTATATTTAAAGTCCTTGGGGAAAGGGAGCATGGGAAAGCAGTTAACATTCATTGAATGTATGTTAGATGCCAGGTCTGGCACTAGGTATTTTACATATATGATCTTTGATTGTAAGCCCATATGATGGGTGATATTATATCCCCTTTGCCAGATAACTCCTTTCAAGTTGACTCTGACTCATGGCGACCTTATTACAACAGGACAAAATATTACCCAGTCCTGCATCCTCACAATGTTCAAATTCGGCATGCTCAAGGCCATTGCAGCTATTGTGCCAATCCATCTCATCAAGGGTCTCCATCACCCTCATTGGCCCTTTACTTCACCAAATATGATGTCCTCCTCTAGCAATTGATCCCTCCTGATGACATGTTCAAAGCAAGCAAGTCGGACCATGTTCTGTTGTGATCCATAGGTTTTTATTGGCTAATTTTTAGAAGTAGATCACCACTCCTTTCTTCCTAGTCTCTTAGTCTGGAAGCTCTGCTGAAACCTATCCACCATGGGTGACCCTGTTGGTATTTGAAATACCAGTGGCAGAGCTTCCAGCATCACAGCAACATGCAGGCCACCACAGTACAACAAACTCACAGATGGGTGGTGGATATCCCCTTTACAGATAGGAAAATAAAGGCTCAGATACTAAGGGGTTGTTCAAAGTCACCCCTACTAGTAAAAGATAGAGTATGAATTTCTCAGTAAATTCAAACCAATGCCTACTTCTCTCATCCCTCAAGTCCATGTGCTCCATTCTGTTGTGATTTCTACTACATCATTAAGGCTTTATCAAAGCTACTCTTTCCTTTTAACCACTTCGTTATATTTGAAAATGTCTTTACACTCAATATATTTTTATACTATTATATTTAATTAGCAGTCACTTTATGCTTACCCATGTTAGCATCCTGATTTTTTTAAAAATGTTCATTAGTATGCAAAATGTATTTTAAAAGACATGTCTCTGCTCTTCAGAAGCACGTCATTTAGTTAAAAATAACCAGGGTGTGGGGCATTCACAGGTATTTAGTAATTACCCAGATCTTCTATTTTGGATTCAGGTGTGAATTGGGCATGTGGCAGAGAGAAAGTCAGTGTGAACAGGATGTGCCTAGAGGCTAGACGGGCACTTCTGACCCTGTCCCTCTTCTCCAGCATGCTGTCCGTGGTCAAGCCCTAAATGTCTTCCCACAAACAAAGGTGCCCGAAGCAAGTCTCCAGGAGCATTTATTTTTATCTGCCATCTCCAGCTGAGTCAGGGAACTACCTGGGGATACCATTTCAGTTCTGATTTCTAACTTACTTTCAGGCCTATGTACATAAAAGTGTGATGGAAGAACTGAAGAGAATAATCGATGACAGTGAAATCACCAAAGAGGATGATGCCTTGTGGCCTCCTCCTGACCGAGTTGGCCGGCAGGTGAGTGGCTTAGTGACTCTCCTCTAGTGCAGAAACCTTACCAATGGAAGATGAAATTACAGCTCTGCACACGACATGAAATCCACCATTTCAGACACATAACACTGGCAGAAATGTACATGTGCCATTTCAGGCCCATTAGAGTGGCAAAAAATAATGCCAAGTGTTAAAAAGGATATGAGAAAAAGGGATATACTACTGGTGGTAATAAAATTGGTACAATTGCTTTATGGAGCAATTTGATACTATCTGGCAGAGTTAAAATATTTATACCCTACTTTTAGTAATTTTCCTAGAGATATTTTCACATACATACAAGGCGATGCATAAAAGAATGTTACCGCCATGTTGTTTATAGTAACAAAAATTGGGAACGTAAGTCGCTTCAATAGGGAAATGGTATACTCTAAAGCATTTAAAACTAATGAACTAAATCGGTATAGCCCAACATGGATAAATCTTAAAATCGATGTTGAATTAAAAAATAAAAGATACATATAGCATGACCACTTACATAAAAATTTAAAAACATACTACCAGTACTCTAAAAACATGAGTGGAAAGAATACATTCCAACTTCAGGGTATTGATTAGTTACCTCCAGGGATACAGGAAGGAGAATGGAATGGGAGGTGAAGCTAAACTTTGTAATGTTTTATTTCCTTAAAATCTGATCCAAGTATGACAGAATATTAACATTTAAAATCTGGGGAATACTAGACTCATCATTTTGTCTATTTTCTGTTCAAATTTTTTCATAATTGAAAAACGTAAATAAAAAACAAGTAGGAAAAGAAGAAGAAACAAGTAGAACCCATTAGAATGTAAGTTACACAAGGACAGAGATCGTGGTTTGGTGTGATTGGTTTTACTGATCTTTCCCAAGCACCAAGAACAATCCCAGCACACAATAGGTTCCCTATTATTTTTCTGAAAGTTCATGATCCTTTTGCTGTTTAAAAATTGAGACTCAAGGTCATATAGCTAGTGAGTGGCAAAGCTGGGATCAAACCCAAAGTCTGGAATTCTTTTTCTTGTCCCGTGTTGCCCAGATATGTAGATCCTTTGGTATTTTTAAAGCACAGATCTGTCCATGTCATTCCACAGGGCAGGCATTGTTAATGAAAACCCTCATGCAAAACAAAATGTGAATTCTTCTACATCTCAGAAATGGTAGAGCCTTGTGGACACAACTTTCTCAAAGAGTATGAGCTTCTCAAGGGCTAAAACAGTATTTCATTTATCTCTGTTACTAGTGCCCATTACAGCTTAGGGCTCAGTAAATCTGTTGAAGTGAACTGGCCTCGTTTACATGGCCATCTGTAGTAGGTTTGTGTGCTCTGGCAGATGATGAACCCTTCTCCTGTGTACTTGATGAAAACTCCCATTCAGCATGACTTAAGTTTTTTAAATGTTTTTAGGAGCTTGAAATCGTCATTGGAGATGAACACATTTCTTTCACAACCTCAAAAATCGGTTCCCTTATTGATGTGAATCAGTCCAAGTAAGTGTGCATGATCCTTACATCCAGTTGTATCTCTTTTGAAGCAGATTAATGGGAAACCCTCAGCTGAATGGGGAGCATTATGGGAAGATCTGGTGCAAAGTGCAAGGCAGAGGCAGGCAGCTTTGTCCCCCTCACTAGAGAGGGACTCCAGAGTATTTTTGAGGACTTGACCCTGTTGCCCTTGGTTTTTGATTCAGTCATTGCTACCAAGAACTTCTCAGTGACATACACACACAGAGTAATGCGTAGGAACAGCCACAGTAGGTAAGATTCTGGCCAGACAGAAAAAAATATGCCGGTGCTCAGGATAGAGTCACCCAGTCTGAACAGTTTCCTCAGTGATGGCTCTTTGGACTAGTGCATCTTCAAAGTCTGACTTTGGTGAAACTTTAATTTTTTTAGGATATAAATTTTTTAATTCATGTTGTCAGTGGGAGCAAATTATAAAGTTGAGACATGACTGTATGTGCAACAAAGAATTCTTAGAATTTGGCAACCTCTTGGCTTTTTTTTGAGAATTTGGGATTAGATGTGGCTCACTTTTAGTTGGGCCCAGTCATCTTCCTTTGGACAGCTTCTTTGTTCACTAAGAAAGCCTGTGATTCCAGCGTCTGAGTGCTGCTTAGTACTACTTTAAAAAAAAAAAAAGTTTTCCTAATTCTGAAAATAATACATGCTCATTGTAGAAAATACAGGAAATGTAGAAAAGTAGAAAGGGGAAAGGTTGCCCATAATCATATCAGTTAGACAACCACTGTCAGAAGTATTTCTGGTCTTTATTTCTGTGCATTAAAAAAATATATAGTTTTTAAAAGTGCAGGAAAAATATAGTCATGTGCCACATAACTTCCATTTGGGCAGTGTCCGACCACATATATATGTCCGTGGTCCTGTAAGGTTATAATAGAGTTTAGAAATCCCAGTCGGAGAATGGGACACAGTGAATGTAACCAGATGTAGTGAATGCAACAGCTTTCTGGTGGCTATTCAGTCGGTACAGGTACACTACAGTATCCCATAGAGGTTTGCTAATAATTACAGGCAGTCCCTGGTTACATACGACACGTAGTTACAAACCAACCCCTGGAAAGCCTATTAAAAATTCAAGGTACAATGGTTCGTAATGACAAACGGGCACTACTTTGCAATGTGCATCAAAACATTATCATTACTGTATTATTATATTACAGATGTTTTAATGTATCTAGAAGTGTTTCTTTAATATTTTTTATGCATAGAAAGGTACAGTACATACTACGACAAACATTTGACTAACTGATGTTAGATACGAACCGTTCCTAACTGTTCTGACTTACATACAACTTCGACTTAAAGACAAATTTAGGAACGGAGCTCGTTTGTTATCCAGGCACTGCCTGTATGGTGTTTGTACAATGTCCAAATCACGTAATGTCCTGTTTCACAGAATGTATTGTGTACATTAAACAATGTGTGACTGTAATTGAGATCAATATGTTATTTTAATTATGATTTTTTCACTTAATATAATGTAAGCATTTCCACATTAAAAAAAAATACGTTTTAAATGACCTCATTATATTCCATTTTAATGTATCATCATTTCCTTCTTTTTGGACATTTGGGTTGTTTTTAAAGTTTTAATGCTGTAAATACCTTTATGATGAGCATCTCAGTACATAAATATTCAGGGTTATTCAGTGGTATTTTCTGGAGCTTTTCACAGCTTTTTAAACATTTTTTCCTCTTGTGTTTTAGGGATCCAGAAGGCTTACGAGTATTTTATTATCTTGTCCAGGACCTGAAGTGTTTGGTCTTCAGTCTTATTGGATTACACTTCAAGATTAAGCCAATCTAGATTGAATATTGGTGTGGACCTGAGGGGGTTGGGGGGAGTTGTTTTTAATTCCCATTATCAGGAAATTTTTGTGTATATCAGGGCAATATTTTTTATAAACTATAAATGATTGTCTTTAATAAATATGTGATAAAACCTAATTTTATTATTTTGTAAAGACTCGAACAAGTGTTATGGAAGGTCCATGTGAACTTTTCTCAGTTACTTTTTAAAACACTAACACCCTAAGTGGAGCCCTGGTGGCACAGTGGTTAAGAGCTTGGCTGTTAACCAAAAGGTCAGCAGTTTGAATCCACCAGCCACTCCTTGGAAACCCTATGGGCAGTTCTGCTCTGTCCTAAAGGGTCGTTACGAGTTGGAATCGACTTGATGGCAGCGGGTAACACCCTAAGTATTGCCCCCAAACTGAATCTAATCAACTCTCTAGATTTATAGGAAATAAGAGAATAGAGAAACATTTTTTTTAAAAAGCATGAGAATGCAATCAGCAGTATCTAGAGGAAACTCTAGGACATAGTTTCTTCAATAGATAAACTGCAAGGGAAGCAGAAATGGAGTAGAAGCCTGTAGGTGAAAAGAGATTTAGGAAACATGTTAATCAATACTATGTTTGGACCTTATTTGGATCATGACTTGAAAAGAAGTGTAAAACTGACACCAGTAGGGAAATCTGCACACTGGATATTTAGGCCTGAAGTGCTATGGTGCTTTAATCTTTTAGAGATACATATGTAGTTGTTTTAGTATGGAGGGAAAAATTTGGTTTGATACATGTTAACTATTAATAAGAGATAAAATGCCCAGTCTCAGAAGTTCTCCAGTAACCCATTTTAAATTCAGAATACCAACAGTCATTAAGAACTGAGACTAAGTTGGTACAGATAGTATCGGGAATTGGCTCAGCAGGTAGATATGTAGGTACTGTTTTTCCTGCTAAATTGCATGTTTTAGTGGGGCACATTGCTGGTTGAACAGATTGTGCGCCTGAAAGGAACTGGTAAGCCTCTTTTGACTGAGGGGAAGTGATTAGTCTAAGTCCACACCTGACAAGACAGGCCAGCTTGGGACAAGGCCCCAACTGACTCCCAGGCATTTTTCCACTCCAATGTCTCCTTCAAAGATTAAGAGGCAAGTTAGTGGTGGAGCTGGGACCTAAGATCTCAGGGTTCCTGACTCTCGGGTCAGTGCACCTCCTGCTATAGACAAAGAAGGTACTTGGGCCAAAGAGGCAAGTTGGTGGTATAGCAGACGTATAAAAATAGGCACTCCAAATTTTAAAGTGACAATAAGGGCCTCAAAAAGCTGTAGGAGTCTAAAAAGGGCTGTTCCCTTGTAATGCCAACGCCCACAGCTCCTGTATAATTTGAAGTGCCCTGGGCAAGAGGACAGGAAACAAGGTTCGGTAAATAGCTACTAGAAAGATAAACAAGATGGGAGCCCAGAGAAGAGCCAGCAGGCGGGGATGGACGTCCAGTGTGAGCGCGACAATGAAATGACGTGGGAAGGAGCCCAGATAACAGGTGGCGGGGGGAAGGGAAAGGTACAGTTTAGAGAAGAATCCCCATCCCCAAATCTATGAGGCTGTCCCTGGACAGGGGAAACTGATGTGATCTGAAAAGCCTCAGAGGCCAGGCAGGGACCAAGTGCAGAGTTGGATATGGGAACGTCAACAGTTAAGAGCCAGGAGAGACAATTGGCAGGTTTCGGGCAGGGAATGTCCTGTTCTTTGCGGTATCCCTCAGATTAGCTTAGTGCTGGCACAAAATCAGCGTTCGGTAAATACTCGTGGAATTACCGATTCCTGGAGGCAGGCTTCCGCGGGTCTGAGAACTGGTTAATTGCACAGTCAGCGTACCACCACCAGTTTCACTTCACCTAACCGAAAAAACTTGGAGTAAGGGAAGGAGTGACGTGCAGCGCCAACCACCCGCCCAGTGGG